GAGGTGCTTACAAAGCCCAAGTTGAGGCTCTCCAAAAGGTAAGTCGATGTGATCATTGACTTGATCGTCGAAGTGCAAATAATCATAGAATCTTTTTTCTCGGTCGGCGGCCTTTACCTTCTAATGAGGTGCTCCGTGTGCATATATAGAGGGGACAAGGCCGGACATTTGTTGTGCCATTTTTGGAGGTTAATAGTGTCTAAAACAGTCGCGCTGATAGGTAAGATTTGCGTGGCTTTCATGCTGGTTACTAGCCAAATTTTTTTCGATGTTCATTCTTGATCTCAATCGAGTTATATATATATATATATTAAGTAAAGATTTTGAGCTTACAATCTTGTATCTAATAAAAATGAAACATTAAATCAATATGACTCTGTGATCATGGAAAAAATATTTTTCTAAAGTGAAAGAATGGAAAAGAAGACCGTGCCTATTGAACCAAATGAAGATATTTGATTTGGGGTGAGTTACGTGTAGAAATGTCAACGAGTTGAACCAAAAATTGAGGCTCGGGCTCGGTTCGAATAAAAATGATTTGAGTTTTTTTGGTCTGAGTGAAACTAAGGTTTTGCTCGAAAAAGGGCTCTTGACACAAGCCAACCAATATGAAGTTGGGTGACCACTGATAGATTTAACTCTTAAATTAACATTTTAATTTAGACAATGAATTTAATAAATATTTCTTGGGAGTGGTAAAATGTAAAGAACTTGTTGATGTATTTCAAAATTTTAACTCTGTAAATTTATATATGCTCTCTAAGTAACAAAATATGCCTTTTAAGAAATAAAAAGTTCTTGAAGGTACTTTAATATATATTTTATATATAACAATAATTTAAATTAGTACTAGATTTTTGAATAAATTTTTTAATAATTTAATTTTTGATAATGTAATATTAAATCCATGTTTCTTTGCAATTTTTCTTTTTATTATGGAGAAATTACATCATCTGGCCACAACACAATAGAGATCCAGTTCTCAAAATGGAACAATCCCCTCATCCAGGGTCACATGGGCCTTGGATTTCAATAAGCGCCTGGAAATCCAAGGCCCATGATTTCTACCATCTCTCTCTCTCTCTCTCTCAAAATGGTCATCTTGTCACTCATTTTTTGTAAACGGCAACTTAGCATTGTACTTAGGGATGTCAAATTGGTTTGGTGGCTCGGATGGAGCGAGCCTAGGCTCGGGCTGAGCCCCATTTTGGGGCATTGGCCCGTGCCCGAGCCGGCCCATTGTGGCTCAACGAGCCACACGGGCCAAAATGGCCAGTGACAAGGTCCGCCTGAATTCAAAGATCAAAATTAAAAAAAAAAATAAATAAAAATTAATATATATTTAAATAGTCAAGCTGTCGTTACAGGCAGCTATATTATAGCTGCCTGTAATGCTGCTGCCTGTAACGGCAGCTAGGTAGCACCTACTGTATTTTATACTTTTTTTTTTTTTACTGTATTTCATAATTCAATTTACGAGGTTAATATTTGAAGTTCAAATTCAAATTTCAAATTTGAATTTCAAATTTGGAGGTAAAATTGATTTTTTTGGCTATAAATACAAGGTAAATTTTTAAATTTCAAATCTATTTGTTTCAATCGATTTTAACTTACAGTATTATAGATTTAAGTTTCAACTCTAATTTTTTTGCTCTCAATTTCATATTCAATTCCTTTCACTCTCATACAGTCATACTCTAATATTATGTATTTTATACTATACTAGTTATAGATGGATTTTACTAGTAAAGAGTTCAATCAGTTTAAGGGTAGCTCGAGTACTCCATCTGGTTACGACGTTGCATCTCGAAATATTCCAATTGATTTGGAGAATATTGATGAGGAAGAAGTACTCGAGATTAAAAGTTCGAAAAAAGAATCCTCAAATTGTTGGCAACATATGACACGTAAAAAAGTTGGTATTCAAAATGGAGTGGATATTTGGAAACATGTTGTAAATTACTGTGGCAAAGAACTGAGTTGGAAGCCTAGTTCGAGCACAACACATTTGAATAGACACATATTAAGGAGTTGCAAAGCGAAACTAGTCGATCTTGACTCGAAACAGACCGAACTAGTGTTTGGCGATTCTTGTTCTACTCTTTCCACCTTTATATATTCACAGGAAATATTTCTTGAAGGAATGACTGCATACGTGGCTGCAGCAGAGATGCCGCTTACGATGATACACTTTACCCAGCTCGTGCAGAAATACTTCCAACCTAGGTATTATTCTTATTGTAGAAATACTCTTCGTTCAAATACTATAAAATTATATAACAAAAAAAAAACAAGTTTCTATTGAAAGTCTAAAAACTTTTAATAGTGTTATATCATTTACATCTGATTTATGGACCAGTGGTAATAGAAAATGTTATATTGCTGCTACGACTCATTATATTGATCACATGTGACTTTTACATAAAAGGATTATTGCATTTAGATGTGTAGAATATCTTTATAATGCCACTAACATATACATGATTTGAAAAAATATCATACGGGAATATGGTATGCAAAATATGATTCGAAGTTTTACTTTTGATAATGTTAGTGTGAACAAAGGTATTATCGAAAGATTTATTAGTGAACTTAACCCTTCATTTGAAACTTTATTTTTTCATCAACGTTGTGTATGTCATATTATCAATTTAATTGTAAAAGTTGGATTAGAACATATAAATTCTCCTTTAGATAAAATTAGACAAGAAATAAATTTTATTACTGTGTCACCGGCAAGAAAATAAGCATTTAACACTTTGTGTGTAAAGTATGACTTGCAGGAGAAATCATTTGTCACTGATATAACACATAGATGAAATTCTACATATCTTATGTTACATTCGTGTGAAAATTACGATAAAGTGATTTCATTATATTATAATAGTAGGCATACATACGAACCTGAACATAATTTAAAAGATTAGGAATGGACTTTTGCATTTCACGTGAAAAAGTTTTTAAGATCTTTTTTCGATAATACAAAGGAATGTAGTGGAATTTATTACCCTACATCTTCACTTGTTTTATAATATTTTTTCTACATATCACAAACATTTCATAAATACAGGAATTTGCCATTTTTTTGACTTAGTTTGCTTTATGAAGTTAAAATTTCGTAAATATTGGGAAGAATTGCCCTCTTTATTTATTTTCGGTTCAGTAATGAACACTCGACTTAATTTGAATGACACAATAACCACTGTAAATGGGATTTCAAATTTTATGAATGTGGAATTATCATATGTTAATATGGAATCTACGTTATTTGAAATGTATAATTATTATGCTGATAAAGAAGGCCAGCTCTATGGAGTTAAAATTTCGTAAATATTGAGAAGAATTGTCCTCTTTATTTATTTTCGGTTCAGTAATGGATACTCGACTTAATTTGAATGACACAATAGGCACTGTAAAAGGGATTTCAAATTTCATGAATGTGGAATTATCACATGTGAATATAGAATTTACGTTATCTGAAATGTATAATTATTATGCTGATAAAGAAGGCCAGTGTAGTTCTACTTCCCAAAGTTCTTTTTCAAGAAATATTTCAAAAAATTCAAATAATTTATGAAAGTTTTTGGAAAGCAATACAAGTGTTTCCTCGTTTAGTTCTAGTTCATCGATATTTAGAACGATAAATGTCGGTGGTACAAATTTTGAAATTCCCTCCGAGCTAGCTAGGTATATGTGCGTGGACGTTCACAGTGTGTTACCTGAAAAAGAATTACAGGAACTTAGTCTTCTAAATTGATGGAGGTGTAATGAAAGACAATATCCAATTGTATCAAAAATTGCACGTGATCTACTAATACCTCCGATGTCTACGGTAGCATCGGAGGCTGCATTCTATTTAGATGGTCAAATTTTATCAGACGAACGTTCAAGACTAAAAGAAGATATATTGGAGGTTTTAATATGCTTGAAGGATTGTGAATATGCAAAATTACGTGTTCAAGAACATGTTGACAGTAAACTAACCGAAGGGTTGCAACAGATCCAAACGTAGAATGTTGTAAGTTATTTTAAAACAATATGTAAATTTTAAATTTATTTATTTCAAGAAAAATTGTACACGAAATATTTTATTCGTGTATAATTTTAACTCCACCTACGTCACATAGCCAATCCCAAGCTTGAAAAAAAGACGAGGGTCGTAAGTTATAATTTTTATTTAATTTGTAATGCAATTTTATAAGTTGTAATTTTTATTTGATTTGTAACTCGTATAAATTATGTAATTTTTTAATTTTTTTTTAAGAAAATGTTATATTCATAATCTTGTTATTAAATAAAAAAAAATAAAAAAATGGAGCCGGCCTTGCTCGAGCTCGACTCGACAAAGCTCGAGCCAAACCTTGTTTTTTCGGTTGAGCTTTTACTCGGCTCAACTCAGGCTCGAAAAAAGCTCGTTTAAAAAAGCTCGAACCGAACCCAAGCCTCAAGTTTCGGCTCGCGAGCCGACTAGACTCGTTGACATCTCTAGTTGCACCGGATGATTCTCAAGTTATGAAGAGAGGTATATGAACAAGTATTTTAAAGGCATTCATGCACGAAACCAGCAAAGGAGTGCATTCTTTTTTAAAGAATAATTCTCCGTCCCGGGTTGGGGACAGGGAGGAAGACAGGGGCGCCACTAACCCTCTCCCCAACCCAAGACAGGGAGTAAGGTTATTTTTTAAATTTACGTGCAAAATATTATAGCGCACCTGTCCCTGACCCTCTCCCCAACCCGGGGCAAGGAGCAAGGTTGTTTTTTAAATTTACGTGCAAAATATTATTACATAAATGTTTAATTGAAAATAAATATGAAAATTAAAGCGTTTAATTTTATAGAGAGACAACCAAGGGCTTCACTGCTTTCACCCCACGCTGTCTCACTGGGTACTGAAACTTAGAATGTTGGTGTACAGATTTGTATTCTTAGCTCAGACTTCTTGAAGAAAATCACTTCATAAGAATCCATTTCAATATACGAAATTTTCATAAACAGTAGCTGAAAAATTAGTATTCTAATAACATTATTGTTAGCATGTTGGATTAAACAACACTTACAATACTAAACATGAAATACAAGTTGAATTTTTGGCCTTCACATCAACATGCAGTGAATGTATGCATTCTATGAAATCTTGAAATTTATTTGCTTATATATCCCAAAAAGAGAAATAAAGGGACAAGAAACAAAGGATTGTCCCCCATGGCTCCCTACTATATCTAATAAAAACATATCGAAGTCAGAAGCATATAATTTTATACCTTCTACATGTGATAGAAGGCTAAAAAAGGCCCTAACATGTCCATGATATGTCATTTCGGCTTGTTAGGTACGGTGATTAATAGAGTGCTAGATATTGTTAAGATAGAAAGATGTTGAATCCTGCGTACCAAACATGAGTGTAGGGGTATTCAACTTGGTATGCCACAAGTATTTCCGTGTTCTTTCCAACTTCACTTTCACATACAACAAAGTTGAAAAGATATGGAACTTCGTCTCTCCCCTCAACCATTTCAACATCATCTTCTTCACTGAAATGTTTGCTCGACCATCCATGGAAAAGCAAAAATCTCAAATTTTTCATGGAAAAGCCTCGAGTGCTCCTCTGCTGAATAAACTTTGCAATTCAGTATTGAATCAGAAACCAATCGAACCTCTGACCTGAAGCACCAATAATCCGTATTTTTCACCAACATCTAAATATCACAAAGCAGAAACCAATGATAACCAAGCTTGCCAAAGCATCATGATAGCATACTGCAGCTATATTCACCTCAAAATAA